GGAGGAAAGAGAAAAAGGGTCTCCTGCTCAGCTCAGACAGGGCTGTGCTGTGTGGCAGAGCTGTGTAAATCGCAGAACTGGATGGGCAGAAATACAAATCCTTTGGCAGATGAAGCTGCTCCCTTATGTGTATTTCATCTGTGTTTGTAGCTGTTTTCCAGGATCTTAACTTTGAATACCGTTAAAAGTAAAACTTGTGTTTGTATAGCAATGATATATGGATTTTTTTTTTTTTTTTAATAAAAGTGGAGTTTTTCTTTAACAGAAATAGAAACAGATCAACCAACAGGCAGAAAGAAATAAGGGAGGATTAATGGGAAAGCAGATGAAAAAACCTCCCTGGCTGAAAAAGTTCATATTACAGCTCTTTCAAATCCGGCAACTTGAATGGTTCTGTGTGCTTATATCTCTTGCCAAGCATATTATCATAAATGCTGTATTTTGTATTTTCTTTTAAACGGGTCCTATAAAATAAAGTATAAAAGTATTTTCTCTCCTTTTGATGTACTTAAGTAGCTCCAAAATCAAAGACATTGCCGATACTTCAAAGATTGTGACCATTTCTGTACAACCAGCATGCCTTGCTGGGGCTTAGCTAAACACAATATTTAATAGTCATTAGGCATTTCTAGCACTCTGTAACCTAGTTTCCTTTTTTTCCTCATATGTGTCACCTAGGCAAGATCCCATCAGTCGTCCCCATGACAGCCCTATATAGTTCAGCAATGTCAGTTCTGAAAATGGCCTATTACTTACATATTCAGTACAAGACTTTGTGACCTTGAACACTTCAAGATTTTAAACCTTCATAGTTGTAGAATGTCCTCTACAATGAAAATGCAGATTTGAGCTCTTGAAATGCTAGTTCTAGTGATTTCCGTCTTCCATAACACCTTTTTGTGTCAACTGTGCCAAGATTTATATTGATGCACTATTCACCTCCAAGGCCTTACACACTCATGCTTCTTTTCTGAGCTGTTAGTAAGTTAATTTACCCCTGGTTCACACTGAATATGACTTTGCAATCGTGTAACTTCACCTGAAGTCACACACTTTCAAAGTCGCATATCAGTGCAACTTTGGGTGCAACGTATAAGACATCTGTGCGACTTTATGCACAGATGTCAATGCAACTTGCACCAGAAATCGGAAAAATAGTGCAGAAACTACTTTTCAAATTAGTTTGACTCCAATGAAGTCAGAAAAAACAAACATACATATTCGCCAGCACACCACAGATCTCGATATGGTCCAAAAATGTTTTCATTCCAAAAAGATCACGTCACAAAGAAAAGTGCAACGTTTCGGAGCCGCGCAGGACCCCTTCGTCAGGCATGTGATGTGCACATGTCCCAGCTGGTAGTCACTACAGCACCCCCTACTGATGAGCCATACTTCAGAAATGTGTGCAAAGGGAATATAGTTATAGTCCAATGAAGTCAAAGTCACACTGATTAGAACCGTTCCATTACTGATCGTAGGGTGCAACTTGTCATGTGATTTGAACTGTCAAATCAGATATGTCGTATCAGTGTGAACAGGGGCTTATTGAACCATGTTTCATGTTACATGCATATTTAGGGTGTAATTAAACATGGTCGTATACCTTACCTGAATAGCGAGGTGCATGTTTCTGCAGAATCCTGTGTATTTTTGGAATTAGCACTTCATCAAGGTCCAGGAACGATGAGTGGAAGTTAGTACAATTCCCATCTGCCACTGCAGCAGAGGGGTTATGCAGAGCATGGTGGGAATCCCTCCTCTCTTCCCCTGCACTGTAGTTCAGAAAGCATTTCCACCAGCCAGGTTCATACATTCGTACACAGCTTCAGGTGAAGCAAGAGCTTATGCATTGCACCAACAGCAAAGCAGTTGTAGATTCAATGCTCTGCAAGCTGTGTTGCAAAAAAAAAGTAGTAAATACACATTGATCATGAGATAAATTTTCTGCAAGAATGTGCAATATTTTCTTGTTATTCTGTTTCTACACACATACGTAAACAGGCAGTCATTAAAGCAATCATGTTCACAGATTATGGAAATTAAAATATTTAAATATTCTTAACAAGTAGTATCAGAGCTTTATCAACCCTCACTAATGTTTGTAGCTGCGGGTACTGTGAAGCAGTTAATCCTCAGAGATCACAACAAAGAATACCGGTTTCAGCTGCTTTTCAAGAGTTCATGGCTAGAATTCTCAGTTGCTAGAGAAAATAAGGGAAGAGTAGAGGTCAATCTTGAAGATGATTTTCTCTACAATGCTTACAACTAAAGAGGTGAATTTGTTTTAAAATGTTTATATTGTTCAGAATATAAGTGCATAGATTGCATGTAGGTACACAGTAAGGGCTTTTCCCCTGGTATAAATGACACTGGAATATTTTCTTATTTATAGGAATCCTTTGTTCTAAATAGTGAAACTTACCTTCTATTTCCATGCTTTGCAACCAGAATTTTTGCAATTGGTCAGTAAATCTTGGCCCCATTCTGAGTAACATTTTTTATAGACTGTAGTAGTACCAAAATAAAATTGGAGGAAGTTTTACACCCCAAGCCACCATGGTTTGGAGTGTGCAATGAACGTAAAACCCTCCAGTAACCTCAGCATCGTTCTGACACTTGTTTAGCCTGTACTGGATGATTGACATTATGGTGATTCCCTGTGTCAAAGGGTTAGTTCACCTTTACCAAAAAACTGCCTATGCAGATAAGGGGTGTCTTTAGATAAAAACAAACTTCATCTTTGGCTAAAGTTGAATAATGCTAAAGGTGTGGGCCATTTACATACCTCTTGAAGCCTGACTGGAATACACTTTTCTCATCTTCCTCTGGTGCTCTGTGTTGTGGGTGGTCTTTCAGCATCACCACATACAATGCATGACTTTGGAGGAGGAGGAGGCAGGCTTGCAACCACTCCTGGGAGTGCCTTTGAGAGGAGGCTTTGCTGGAGTGGTCACACCCAGAGGGGCTCCTAATCCTAGGTAAAATTATAACCCAGTGCTGGGTGAGTTAGGGCACTTCATGGGAAGTTTTTGGGGTTGTTTTGTCTTGTGCCTGGAGTTGGCTTTAAATTGACCTTTGGTATTCTTTATGCTAGCCCATCTAACCTGTTCATATAGGCTATTAGTAAGTTATTTCTCCCTCGCTCATAGCACAGCACTCTGTAACTCTATTGCTACAGCTGCTATCTAGGGATTATTGTTCAGTGTGTACAGAACTGGAGATCTCACAAACATACCTGTGTGCAGTAAGTTGCCTTAATACATTTGCATTTTCCCATATGGCTGGAAGTTAGTAATCTTTTTTTGTTGGCTGGCGGTACTGTGCTACAAAAATTTAGCTTTCCACGATTTCAGTGGTTGTGTACATAGGAACTGTGACCTCTTCATTTTAATGCCACTAGAGAGCTTTACCAGGAGGAATGATGCAATAAAGCTCTTACAACAGTATCAATGCTTTTCGATGGGATAGCAAAAGGAATGGTAAGCGTCACTTTAAGTAAGGAACATAAGAGCAATAACTTGTCACTTAACTTTGGAAGATGTTTTTTATGGTACTTTCTAAAAAAAAATGAAATATCACTGTGGTTTAAGTATTCAGGCCCTTTGAAAAAACACTCACATTTCTCTTGATCATTGCTGAGATATTTCTACACATTGATTGGAGTTCAGTTGTGGTAAATGTAATTGATTGGGCATTATTTGGACAGGCACACACCTCTCTATAAAAGGCCTCACAGCTGACAATGCATACTGTATCAGAGCAAAAGCCATGAGGTCAAAGGAACTGCCTGCAGAGCTCAAAGACAGGATTATTGCATGGCACAGATCTTGGGAGGGCTAAAAATAAATTTTGCTGAACTGAAGGTTCCCAAAATCACAGTGGCCTCCATAATTCTAAAACAGAAAAAGTTTGGTGCAACCAGGACTCTTTCAAGAGCTGGTTGCCCAGTCAAGCTGAACAGTTGAGGCAGAAGGGCCTTATTAATAGGGTGATCTGAAGAACCTGATGGCCACTTTGAGCTCCAGAGATCCTGGGTGGAAATGGGAAAAAGTTCCAGGGCAACCATCACTGCAGCCCTCCACCAATCTGGGCTTTATGGCAGGGTGGCTTAACGGAAGCCTCTCCTTAGTGCAAAATACCTGAAAGCCTGCATGGAGTTTGCAAAAAAGCACCTGAAGGACCCTCAGACTGTGAGGAACAAGATTCTCTGGTCTGATTAAGCCAAAATTGAACTGTCTGGCCTCAAGTCTAAACGTTGTGTTTGGAGGAAGTCAGGCACAGCTTATCCCCTTACCAATACTATCCCAACAGTGAAGCATGGTGGTAGGAGCATCATGCTGTGGAGGGTGTTTTTCAGCAACAGGGGCTGTGAGACTGGTCAGGGTTAAGGGAAAGCTAAATGGAGAAGAGTACTGAGATATCCTCAATGAAAACCTGTTCCACAGCGCATAGGACCTCAGACTGGGCCAAAGGTTCACCTTTTAATATTACAACAATCCTAAGCACACAGCCAAGACAACACAGGTACCCTAATAAACATCTATGGAGAGACCTGAAAATGACTGTCCACCAATGGTCCCCATCCAACGTGACTGAGCTTGAGAGAATTTGTAAAGAAGAATGGCAGAAAATCCCCCAATCCAGGTGTGCAAAGCTTGTCGCTTCATACCCAAAACTTGAAGCTGTAATTGCTGCTAAAGGTGCTTTAACAAAGTACTGAGTAAAGGGTCTGAATACTTAAGTACATGTAATATTTCAGTTTTTTCTTTTTAATAAATTTACAGACATTTCTAAAATGTGGTTTTCACTTTGTCATTATGGGGTACTGAGTGTAGATTAATGAGACAAAAATAAATTTAACTACCTCCCGCCCACCATATAGTAATATGATGGACGCAAGACGGTTCTCTCGTTCTGGGAGGACGTTCTGATGTCCTCCCATTCTAACCGTGCATGCGCGGCTCCCGGAGCGCGCGGCGATCAGCGGTGCGCTGTGTCCCTCGGACACAGCGGATCACTGATCCACGGAAAGAGCTGCAGATGTCGGCTCGGTCATGTGATCAGCTGTGTCCAATCACAGCTCATCACATGTAAACGGAAATGCAGGTTATCGGCATTTCTCTCCCCATGAGCTGTCACCCTGACAGCTCGTGAGGAGAGGAGAGCCGGTAATCGGCATTCCTCGGAGGGGACATGTACACTGATCATCAGAGCACTGATGATCAGTGTGCCCTGATGATCTGTGTACCTCCAGCAGCGCCACCTGTCAGTGTCCATCAGTGCCAGCTCTCAGTGCTCATCCATGCCACCTGGCAGTGCCAGGTCCGTGCCACATCAATGCCACATATCAGTGCCCATCTGAGCTGCCTCCCAGTATCACCCATCAGTGCCACCTATCAATGCAATGCAGTCAGTGCTGCCAATCAGTGCCACCTATCAGTGCCAGTCAGTGACGCCTATCAGTGCCAGTCAGTGCTGCCTATCTGTACATCAGTGCTGCCTATCAGTGCCGCCTAACAGTGCCAGTCAGTGCCACCAAAAAGTGCCAGTCAGTGCTGCCTATCAGTGCCATATATGAGTGCTGCCTTTCAGTGTCCATCAGTGATGCCTGTCAATGCCAGTCAGTGCCACCTACCAGTGCCTCCTCATCAGTGCCACCTATCAGTGCAGCCTCATTAACGCACATCAGTGAAGGAGAAAAATCACTTATTTACAATTTTATTACAAAACTAAGAAAAAAAACATTTTTTTTTTCCAAAATTTTCAGTGTTTTTTTCATATGGGTACAGTGTTGCATGACCGCGCAATTTTCATTCAAAGTGCAACGGCGCTGAAAGCTGGAAATTAGCCTGGGCAGGAAGGGGGTATAAGTGCCCTTTAGGCTAGTGGTTAAACAACTGTAGTATCAGACTGCAACATAACAAAATTGAAAAAAGTGAAGGGGGTCTGAATACTTTATGAGTGCATTGTATACATATTATTTCCTGCAGATTTTTGCAGTTTTTTGCTGAACTGTTTCTTTATTCTGATGCCTTGACTTTTGCTTTAAATTTCCTAGCTCATTTTAGCAGTTTGCTGATTTAAGTGGCTTCTTCAATAAGTGGTGTCTTAACAACAGGGGTTGGAACAGCAGGAGCTGCAGCCTTTGCCTACAGTTAGTAATGTAAAGGAACATGATTGTGAAACTATTTAAAACTGTAACTAGGACAATGAATAGGCCGCAAGGTTCCAGAACTGCATTGTGTGGTATACGGTATATTTCAGGGTGATTACCTCTGTGGCTAACGTGAGTATATTGCCATCAAAAAGTTCTGTTTGAATAAAATTTGATTGAAGATTACGGTCAGCAAACCCTGAATTGGCAGCTCTTTGTGTAACTGCTGAAAGCCTGGAACTGGTAGTTTTTGTGTATATATTCCTTTTCTGTTATGGTCATTGCTAAAAAAAAAAAAAAAAAAAGTGTTTTTTTTCATTCACTGTTTTACTTTGTATCTTTTAGGGCCATACAAACCTGTGTAGTATATTATTATGTGCTTTTACTAAACAAGATGTCACAGAGTCACTCCGGGATCTGGAAGGATCCTGAAGCCTAGTGCACACTACTATTTTTTTTTTTTCCATTCAACTTAGTGGGCTTGTGTCTGAGGGTGGTTATACACTGGTAGATTTTCATACAAACTATTGAAGGAAAAATCAGTACATTTTGTAATGTCATTTGAAAGCAATGGATATCATTTCTCAAATGAAAACCCATACACTGTTAGAAATGTATTCATTCATGAAAAAATTTTCTTCAATGCTTGAATTTTCTCACCACTATGACCCCCACTAAAGTGATTCAAAAATTAGAGGTCTGAGACAGCCAGGCAGCTTGCATTTTCAGTGAGACGTCATCAGTGATACCCTCCATATTTCTCTCAATGCAGGTTTTCTTAAGGGTTCATCCACACCTATGTGCACGTTTCAAGGTTGTAATGAAAATCTTCTTGGGCTGGCGCTGGTGCAAATTTACATGTGTTGTAGCGATCATTCAATCATTTCCTTTGGGGCTTCAATATGCATCCAAAAATAACATGACCATTGTGCATAGATATTTGGCTAGGGTGACTGGTCTCCTCAAAAGGCAGTTGTCCCTCAGGAACAGTTAGGAGACAGCAATGCCTGATAAAATAGTCAATCTTAAAGTGTAAGTTAATGTTTGAAAAAAAAAGAAAAGTAAACAAACACCGTATACCCTCCCCAATGAGCTCCCCCCCCCCAGTCCCTGCTGTATTTAACCTTGTGGGTGATGAGCTGTCAGCGCCCTAACCTGGGCAGTAGTCTGGGAAACAGTAGTCTGATTTGAAACCACACTCTTCTCCCTCTTTCTTCCTGCAGTGCTTCTGGGACAGATCAGAGCAATGCTCTGTGCCGCCACTGACCCATCCCCTCCTGGCAGAAAGAAGAGGGATGAAAGCAGTGATTTCAAATCCCTGGACCACTACATTGGTTTTGTGGGCACTGACAGCTGTTCACCCATGGAAGGAAGTACAGTGGGAACCAGGAGGTTGGGAAGAGTGTACAGTGTTATTTCATCTTTTAATTTTTCTGAAAAGGTGAACTAATTCTTTAAAGAGGAAACACATTCTAAAACCTAGGGCACGTTCCTCTTTTAATTATAATATTGCTGTAGAACAGCTTTAAGTGTGGGAAAAAAATTAGCATTTTGTTTGATGTGTGTCCATTGACAAATAAATGTTGATATACCTTCTGAAGGATTACTGATGACTCTTGTCTGTGATAGAATGAAAGAATACATTGAAACTGTAGTAATTAACTTTGCTTTTTTTTCTTATACTGTATTTGAATGATTGTGGAAACATAGATAAATGATGTAGCGCTTGTACATAAAAATATATATTAATAATATAGTGACCCCCCAGTGAGATTACTATATACTAGTTCCCACATGGGCCTTATATAGTGAAGCAATCAACCAGTGCAGGGGCAAGACAAGCTCCTTTATCCACATGAGGCAAAAATAGATGCGTGACACTTTCAGTCCTCAATATGGGACTTAAATATATAATTAATGTGGAATTAATACAAAATGTGAAAACACTACAAACAGAACACATGAGGAGAAAAAAAGTCCAGTGATCTGTGTCACATTCCTTCTGTTCATGCAAATCAAAGGAATGTGTGTGAACCCACACACCCTTGAATGTGATCCAATAACGGCTGAAATGGCCTCTCACCTCCTACCTGTGACCCTGCAGGGCCACAGAGCATTTAGTATACCACCACTGGGTCTAGGCAGAACTCCTCACGATTATATGGCTTGAGAATGTTTCCCCAGAACACAGCTTCCACCTCTCCTATGGTATCCTTGCGGGCCAGTGAGCAAGATGAATCCCAGCTCAAATCCCCATAAGATAAAAGAAGACATCCTCCATAGTGTAGACCGTTTAATTATATAATTTAAACAAGTAAAGTGCAAACTCACATGAGCAGAGTTTTACAGCGTTTTTCCCATATGTTGGGTGTAGGCATAGAGCTGAAGGGTGTTCCAAGATGGCGCCACCCTACACTATGGAGGATGTCTTCTTTTATCTTATGGGGATTTGAGCTGGGATTAATCTTGCTTACTGGCGTTCTGCCTAGACCCAGTGGTGGTATACTAAATGCTCTGTGGCCCTGCAGGGTCGCAGGTAGGAGGTGAGAGGTCATTTCAGCCGTTATTGGATCACATTCAAGGGTGTGTGGGTTCACACACATTCCTTTGATTTGCATGAACAGAAGGAATGTGACACAGATCACTGGACTTTTTTTCTCCTCATGTGTGTACTTTGTAGTGTTTTTCACATTTTGTATTAATTCCACATTAATTATATATTTAAGTCCCATATTGAGGACTGAAAGTGTCACGCATCTATTTTTGCCTCATGTGGATAAAGGAGCTTGTCTTGCCCCTGCACTTGTTGATTGCTTCACTATATAAGGCCCATGTGGGAACTAGTATATAGTAATCTCACTGGGGGGTCACTATATTATTATATATATGTTTATGTACAAGCGCTACATCATTTATCTATGTTTATGCTTTAAAGACCTATTGGTATAGGATTAGATGTCAGCAGCTGTTGGATATTTGGTGTGACATATTCTTCTTTCCCACTATTGCTTAACATAAGAGCGCAAGAGGATTTTGTATATTGCATGATTGTGTGTTTACTTTTTTTTTGCATTAAGCTCCTTAAAAACAGCCAGTTGTTTAGAGAGTTATATGGCTTAAGTTTAACATTGCACACCATAGTGTAAGAGTAATTACTTATTCCCCTTTCCTTTTAGGTAGATCCAATACAAAGTTTCAGTCAGAGACAGTATGTCTGAAAGGAAACATCTGCTGTGCTTCCTCTTTAACCGCTTGCCGACCCACCACAGTGTTTTTACTGCGGCAGGGCGGCACCTGTACGCACAGCACCGTCTTTTAACATCACTGTGCAAAGACTTTATCTCTCGGGATCAGCGTGTTACTGTGAAGTACACACCCCCGCCCCCTAGTAAAACACTCCCCTCACACAGTTAACCCTTTCATTACCCAATAAAAGTTAACCCCTTTCTCCCCAGTGCCATTAGTACAATGTCAGTGGTTTTTTTTGCACTGATCACTGTATTGGTGTCACTGGGGATGTCAGTGACTCCAAGTCAGTTCCCCCCAGTGTCAAAATGTCCACCGCAGTCCCGCCGTAAGTCGCTGATCACTGTCATAAATCGCTGATCACCGCCATTATTAGTATAATTTTAAAAAAAAAATCCAGTATCTTTCCCGCCATTTGTAGACGCTATAACTTTCACGTAAACCAATTAATTTGCACGTATTGGGATTTTTTTTAAGCAAAGACATGTCGCAGAATACATTTTGGCAGAAATTTATGATTAAATTTGATTTTTACATTTTTTTTACTCGACATGTTTTATAGCAAAAAGTCCAAAATATTGTTTTTTTTTTTCTCAAAATTGTCTTTTTTTTTATAGCGCAAAAAAATAAAAAAACGCACAGGTGATCAAATACCACCAAAAGAATGCTCAATTTGTGGAAAAAAAAGGATGTAAATTTCATTTATGTACCGTATTGCATGACCGCGCAATTGTCCGTTAATCTAGCGCAATGCTGTGTAGCAAAAAAATGGCGTAAATTGCAGTATCTATACCATAGTTTGTAGACGCTATAACTTTCACACAAAGCAATCAATATGCACTTATTGGGATTTTTTTACCAAAAACATGTAGCAGAATACATTTTGGCCTACATTTATAACTAACTTTGAGTTTACTATATATTTTTTATAGCTGAAAGTAAAAAATATTGTTTTTCTTCCAAATTTTTGGTCTTTTTTTGTTTATAGCGTAAAAAATAAAAAGCGCACAGGTGATCAAATACCACTGAAAGAAAGCTCTATTTATGTGAAAAAAAGGACGCAAATTTAGTTTGGGTGCAG